AGAATGTTACTGAAGTCTCTGCCCAGCCTGGCTGCACACAGTTGGAAGACTCAAACACAACACTAAGAAGATTCAAAACTCAGCTTTACAGTTTGAAAATTCAGTGTTCAAATTGTAAGTAGAAACAAAACTGATGCATATTTTTGCTGCACAAGTGCAGTTAATAAAACCATGCCTCATCCTTCTTTTCAGGTCTCAGCAATGGAACACAGCAACTACCAGAATTTTGAGAGGAAAAGTCTTAGCACCACCTGCACTACAAATTCCACTGTCTTTTCATGGCAAACTCATCAGAAGGATGTGAGAAAAACTGAATTTTATTATGAAATAATTGCAGCCATATGAACGAATTCAACTTAGGTTTTAGATAGACAGTTAAACTTCCTGCTATTTTTCATGTTTCACTAGAAAGAATTGCTGAATCTTGGAAAGCAGATTTTTATTTGATCATCTAAATTTACCCCTTGAAAGCTGGAGAGAATAACACATGCAACATCTTCATCTACTAACCAGATGAAGAAATGGAATACACTGAATCACAAGTTTGTGGATGACATCAAACATGGGGGGGGGGGGGTCATTTGGTGTGTTAGGGGAGATGTCTGCCATTCAGAGGGACTTTGGTGTGTAGGAGAAATGGGTCAAGAGTAACCTTGGAAATTGACCTAAGACAGATACAAACTCCTTCAGGTGGTTTAAGCTCTGCAGCAGAAAAGCATCAAAGCCAGTTGCAGTTGCAGTGCTGTGTGGAAAAAAGAAAAAGAAAAAAAAGCAAACAAGAGAAAGCTTTGGTGTCCTGGAGGGCAAGTTGGATGCAGGTCAGCAGTGAGAGATTTTAACTCTCAAATTAACTTGATAGTGGACCAAATGAGGACTGCAGCCAGAAGGATGAGAGAAGAGATCTAGCCCTTCATTAAGCACTTGTGAAACCACACCAGGAGAAAAAAAGTTCTATAGTGGCCACTCTATTAAAAAAAAAAAAAAAAAAAAAAGACATGGACGAATTTGCACAATTACCATAAATTGAAGCATGACCAGTAAGACCACTATGGGGTACTATGTGTCATTCAAGGAATGGGTGAAGGAGCAGGACTTGTTTAGCCAAAGAAAAGATTGCAGGATCTATACATGAAGGCTGAATCAAATTTTCAGGTACTGCATTACAAATATTTGGGAAATTCTAAACAGAGGGAAGGGCTCCACACTGAAACTTTGAATTCATGCAATAATTAGCTGACAGATCAAGCTCAAAAAGCTACAGTAACTGGATTTACCACAGGCACATAGCCAGTAAGTAATGGGGTTCCACAGGGCTCCATTTTAGGCCTGGTTCTCTTCAATATATTTTTTCTTTTTATGTGACCTGGACACATAAAAAAACTACATAAATCATGGCTGATCACAAACTTCATAAAAAGAATCCTAAAAATAACTTTGCACTTTTATTCTATGAGCAACAAAAGGATTTTCTTCCTTGCAAATGTGAATCTGTAGTAACATTACATTACTGTCTAGAGAATTTTGAAAGGTCATTTGCAAATATTAATGAAATAAGCAAAGCTAATTCACTCAATCTGCTGTGCATCCTCAAACATAGATCTGATTATGCACCTAATAAGATCAGCAGAATCTTCTACATTGATTTTCTGGATAAGAAACCTAAGTCTATTTCACACTGAAGTGACATAAAGTGATTCAACTCATCTCAATCCAGGAATATTTAGGAATATTCAGGAAGATCATAAGTGCAAAATTTTTAACTAGATTGAATTTTAAAATGGGCAAAAGGTTTGATGTTAAGGATACTGCCAGTAGAGGAAATAATATTTACCTAAAACCCCACATCACACAATACAGGAAGCATATCATCTGTTTATTCCAAAATATTGCATTGATTATTTTTAACATTGTCAGACAAAATAAACATTTAAGTTCCTTCTTATGTGATATATCAATGAAGCAATGTCAAATCAATATATTATAAATAATTTTGTATTATTTTCCAAGGCATGCCCTGTGAAGAGTCAATCATTCTTATCTCTGGAGAAAAAAAAAAAAAAAGTATTGAGAGAAATGCACCTTGTGAAGTAAGAGATTTCTTAAAAACAGTCTCCAGATAATCTTGAAATGAATGAAGCCTCTAACTAAAAGGATGTACTGCTCACGCCCTATTTCACAGATATACTTGCAACAGAACAAAGCTGGTCTATTGCCAAAACTTAACCTTTGGAAAATACTATGTGATTTAAGCCAAAGAATACAAACTATTTACTGCTGAAAACTAACATTAAACTTGATTTTAAAACTAAATTAAGCCAGCTAAATAACAAGTTTAATTGAGGTCCAAACCAAAAAGCATCCTGTTATTTTGTGTGTTTTTAAATTTTAGATTGATTAAAACATTAAATGCTATTATAGTTCTGCTTTTTATTTAATAAACTTTTAAAAATCCATAACTTCACCACAGCATTAATCAGGTATGTCATCAAGTTTACCTTGTACCAGCCCAGACTTTAGAGGGAAATCAGACACCCCTGCTAACAAACATGCTATTGAAACAGGAGTCTGTTGGTCTGTTGGTAGAGAATTACTGAGGTGCATGCATCTATGCAGCCCTCAACCGAAGGCATGCTTTGAGGCAGTTCATGTTGAAGCTCAGTGGATGAAGAAGTGCAATTATGGCTGTGCATATTCTTTTTTTTTTTTTTTAAATAATCTGATCCAGAAATAGAACAATGCTATTTCAGCTTAGCTGCTTGGAATAGTGGATGAAAAAAATAAGTAATAATTACTCTTATCTTCTTCAAGTTGTATCTTTCCCTTTAAATCTTCTGTTTCACCTGCATCTCCAGTTTGTAACTAGCTATTTTTAATTTCTAGTTTTCAGCTGCCTGCACATTGTGCCCTTGCAGATACATAGCAAGAATGTATTTTCTTTGGGGAAGGAAAACAAAAACTAAAGCTACAGCAAAACAAGAAATCTATGCCCACAAGCATTCTATAAATTAATGAAAAATTACATAACTACTATGTGAAGCCAAGAACAGGGACATATTTACATATAATTTCATGCTGTACAGAGAAAGAGTGATTCCTTTGCCAAATAGCTATTTTCCTTTCCCTTGTTTGGCACTGGGATCTTCCTATTCATCTTGCTTGCACTGAGGCCTGTTGGGTAACTTTCATGGCTCAATTCAGAAGTATGAGGACATTCCTCAAAACTGATTAATCTTATTTCTAAAAATACTGACACTTGTACAAGGCAAGCATGGTTGCTTCTGTATCCAGTGTAATTATATCTGTATATTCACACATTCTTGTCATTTAATTCTTCAAGTATAAGATCTAAGCCAATCAAGTACTCCAAATCTGTAGCTGATAAACTTGGTTTGAAATTGTAGGCAAGCATCCCTTGCACTAAATAAAACAACGGGGCAGAGAAAAAGAAACATCCTTATGATCTGACTATAACCCCACTTAGTCTCCCAGAGGAAGACAGTAGGTCCCGAGAACACCTGTAGTATTTGAGATGTTTTATTTTGTTGTTTGTTTTGGTTTTTACCTTGCCACAGGCTAAAATAGTATCCCATACAAGAATAACCACATGAATTGTTATGAATACGTGGAAGGAGCACTTTGTTCTCGATTTAATGAAATACTGAAATTTGTAAGTTTGAAAGCAGTCAAACCATTACATGGCAACATCAACTTTCTGACATTTTTCCTCATTGTTTCTCCTTAAGGTGCACAAGGATGCAAACACTTGAAGTGAAACCCCATGAAGCTAACGGCAGAATTCTTCCAGAGCTGTGAACAGGTAACAGCAGTTATCTGCACACACAAAATACAATTATCATTTATAGACGCAGTTGTACTGAATAACAGAGGAAGAAACGAGAGTCCCAGTAAAGCTCCAATTATAATTTCGAATGATTCAACAGGATTGTTTGATGACAGACAAAACTTGAGTGCCCTCCTTCACCTTCATATCACAGCAGACTTAAAGGCTCAACTCTTGAAAGAGAAGAGCTAAGCTGTTCTGTACAACACCACTGTGAGACTCACTGTAGGTGTATTTGTTGGAGCAATTTAAGATGAAAGAACTGAGGGTGCATAAGTATGTGCTTTCTCTCACTCTTATCTTTGAAAAGGGTATATTTAAATAACAGCTGTTCTCTAGAACAACACAAGCAACAAGACAATAAGTTTTTCTCCTCTTTTACACTTCATAAAACTACCTGGCTTATAATGGTTATTTGATTCTAGATTTATGATATAAAATAAGATGTACAACAAGTAACAGTCACACTAGTATCGCGTTTTCAGTCATTGCAGTGGTCATTAATTAATCAAGGAAATGATGCTCTCAAGAGCTTATCAAGATCCAGTTTATTTAAAGAAAAAATATTAACTGCATTTAAAGCTTTCATTTCCTCAGACAAAAAAAAAAGAGGATCAGTGTTAAACAGATACAATACTTGTTTGTAGCTTATCTTCACCATCTTTCTTCCCAAGGAACAGAAGAAATGAGAGAACGTATTCATATAAGCACAAAATAATAAAATAATTTTTGCTTAGGAAAACGGAAGGTTTTTTTATTCCATTTGAAATATAATTTTTTTTTTTTTTACATGAGAAATATTTCCTCATAATATCACATTCTACTTGCATAACTATTGAATTGCTTGATTAGCCAGATTAACAAACAGATCTTAGAATCATAGAATTTCTAGGTTGGAAAACACCTTAAAGATCAAGTCCAACCACAACCTAACCATTCTATCTCAACTCTAACAACCCATAGATAAATCATGGCCCTGAGCATCACATCCAAACTTCTTCAAAACACATTCAGGGATGGTGACTCAATGACCTCCCAGCTTGAATACACATAAGAAGAATCAAGTACCAAACAAATGTCCTTTGGTGCTGAATTGCTCTAAATGATAAAGCAATATCTTAAATGCTGCCATAAGCAGATGTATATTTCATGAACTTACCAGCCTACGGATATCCCTCTCACATTCACGCTTTATTCTATTAATCTCATCCTGGTGGGATTGGTAAGCCATGCGCAGGTCAGCAGCCTTCATTTTATCCGCCTGCATGATGTTGTTCAAAGCTTCTTCAAGCTGCTTTTTACCAGATTTTAGCTCCAAGATCTCCTGTTGCAACTTCATTCGTTCGCTGTCAAACACTTTGCGGGCCTCCTCCTTCGCCTCACTCAGCAGCGCAGTCTTCACCTTGTCGGCTGCCCCGTCCCGCAGCACATTCACTGTTGACTGCAAACGCTGAATTTCACTGTCTTTAATTTTCACCATTCTCGCTACTTCCTGCTCATGCTGTCGGATCAGCAGCTCTCTGACACTCTGAAGCTCCTTCATTTTCTCCTCATGGAGCTTAGCTTTCAGTTCAGAAATGTAGGCTGTATGCTTGTGCTGTTCCTGCTCCCTTTCTTGCTTAACCTCTTGGATTTTCTCCCTCAATTTACCCACCTGGAACATCAACGCAAAAAATTGATTAGCAAGCACCATCACACCCTTACAAGTCGTCAAGAGAGCTTTTTCATAAGCCTTCTCAAAAAGTCATTCTGAATATTCAAAAGCAAAACCATAAACGCAAAATTTTCTCTTCAAACAGCGAGAGAACTAGAGCTTGAAAAAGGCTGTTTGTACCTGTATGTAGAGGAATCTTCTTTGCGGAGGTGCTACTGGCAACAAACTTTCACAGTTTTAGGAAGTAAAACAATACCAAGCAGCATTCAACCCAGTTCTTTAGCAATTTTCTCCACCAGACCCCAAAGATTACTCTCATCCACAACCCTCACATTGCAGCCAACAAGCTGATGAAAAGGGAAGCAGACAGAGAAAAATGCTTCTGTTCAGAGTGAGAAAGTTTTCTATTACTCAATGGACCACACTTCAAGGATGCTCAGTGAGTCAGATCTTCATATAGGCTCAGGTAATTTATTCCACAGCATCGTTCAGTAGCTAAGAGACTGCAGACGGGATTCCCAGTCAATCATCTCTTTACCTTGTATATACACATACTGTCTTTGGGATTTGAGTTCCAAATTCCTATATTCAAATCCAAATCTATTTGACCTAAGGTAATTTCCAAGTGAGATTACACAATAATATAGATGGGAGAGAAAAAAAGGAGAAGCTTGCTTCTGTATTGTAGTTTACTAGAAAGCGTATAATGTATCCAATCACTACTAATATCAGCAACGCCTTCCTACAATCCCTATTACTGCATCTGCCAGAATACAGGCTCTACACAAGATCTTCAACTCTGAAACAAAGCCAGAGAGAAGAGATTTTTCAAAGATTAGTGTTTTGACCTTGAGTGGCAATAAAAACATATAATCCACATAACACTGCATAGTAAAAATCAGGTCATGAAGCAGCTGGATATTATTACCTGCCACAGCATTCCTAGACTTCTTGCACCTATGCAGCGCACTAATGGGACCTGTGGTCACACAATGCATTAATGTACTTAATTTATGGTAAACTAAGGTAAAGATGCAGCCTGCCTCAGATTTTAGTGCTGTATGGAGGGGAAGATCTCTATTATTATTCAGAATAAAATTTACTAAGAAGGCATAATTAATGCAGTTTACTTTTTCCACAGTTCTGGATTCTACAGTCAAAAACAAAAGAGTGTAATTAAAGCTATAATACTAGTTCAGAAAACTTTGCTATTTTCTTCATTGTAATCAGGCTGGATCTAAACAGGTACACTTGTGTGTTTGCTTTAGAGAAAACACAGCATAACTCAAAAGTCTCAGTTATAACTCATCCAATGAAATCAACTTTACTACTTAATTTAACTGGTCATAAAATGGGACCAATTTATCACACATCAAGCCCTTAGCACTAACTTCATGATTTCCAGAATCTGAACTCCACCTGAAGTCTTCCATTAGAAAGGACACACTTTAAAAAAAATTAAAAACAAACAAAAACAAAACAAAACAAAAAAAAAACCAAACAGGTGAAAGCAGGATAGGGAGAGTATGGAAGTCATGTTCTAGTTATAGTGTAAACTAAACACCAACTGGGACAGCACTATAATTGCAGGCACCATTTGACTAGGATGTTATCACACAGGTATTGTTATCCATTCCAGGATAAACCAGATCATATATATGTTTATTCAAAAAAGAATTATTTCCCCCCAAATGGTAATTCTGGCTACGGGAAAATATCTTCTTTAGATACCCATGATGCATTTAATCTGGTGAAATAACTTGAAGACCCAAGCCTACGGCAGATAGCATGGATCTTCGCTGTTACATTACAGCACTCAATTCCGTAAGAGAGTCTAGGAAAAAGTTCAACCTATTTACTACCACAGATGAGTAAATTTGTGAACCTACCAACACTCAAATTCACTTGAATCTGCTACTGATGACCAAAGAAAATAGAGATGAAACTGTGAAATGAGACCTAGTAAAAACTACATAGGAAAACAAATCATACAATGACAAATACAAGTAATGCTGATATCCCTCCAGAACTACGGTATTTTAAAATCAGTCATGTCATATATTAGGTATGAGAATGAAAAGCAATTTTCAATATAACACATTTGATTGTGACTTCCTAAAAGAACTTTTAATATACTTGAAAAGGATTCTGACATTTTGTGGGAGTTTGAGCACAGAATTGCATGCTTGAATAATGGTTTTCATTTTTCATTGAGTGCATGTCAACATCTATATCCATTGTTGCTCTCCATGACAACAAATTTAAAACCTTCAGACTAACTGAATATCATCACGTATCATCCAGTCATTTCACTTACAAAGTTTCAATCACAGCACAAATAACAACTCTATAATCCCTGAATTCTGCATCTCATCTTAAATGCATTTCATTCTACAAACCCAGAAAAATAGATGCATCCTAATCTTCAAGGTCTTTAAAAAGCCTATTCTTGTTACTGCTTATTATCAGAGAAGACAGCAAATTACCTCTGTTATAGTTGTCTTCCCTGAAAGCCAGAAACTCTGTCCCTCTCTCCCTCCCAAAATGTTAATCTCTACACTTTTGGCAACTGATGGAACAAAAATAGTAATATGGTATTTTCCCATACGCTTAACTGTCTCGGTTTCGAAATAAATTCAAACACAGTTAAAATGTATTTATTTTTAAATGCATAAAGCTGTTCTGTCCACAGTTTGAAGCATAACCAAGAACTGAAGCCAACAAGCAAAAAAAAAAATCATACAGGCTTTCAGAGCATCACTGAGACTGCCTGGCTCCATCTGTATTTTCCCCTCCCCCCCATCAGCTATCTATGCATTTTGATAAAGTCCCTCCAAGACTTCTCCATTCTCAACAATCCCAACTTCTTTCTTGGAAGTGACAATGCATATCTGTCTTAGAGACAGAGAAAATTGCTGAGAAACAGTCCAGTTTCAGAATAAAGAGAACACGATAATACTCAATGCAGAAACTTCATACTGCTTGAACTGATTTGTACGTCACAGGATAAAACCACAATTGATAGGATTGCAAGAACTTGGCACTTAAGTAAAATTTAAACAATTTCAGGGAGAAAAGAAAGTATGCTAAAACTTAGTACTTCTTAGGGCATGATAACTTTTCTGCAGAATATTGAATTCGCAAGTGTAGAACTCAGAAATTTAAGTTAAAGTCCTTGGGAGAATCTACAGGTCTGATCTAATCTCTTTATTGGATGTGACAATTCGTCACTTCAGTCCACAGCCTAGTAACTCTACTGGCTTCTTTCCAGATTATATCATTGTATCACACCTTGTAAAAGAAGTAGCTCTTATCACTTCCAGGTACCTAAGAAACCAACTCTTTTTTACTTGATTCTGCTTTCAGGCAATCATTTTTCTGAATCTCCTTCTCCTTTAAGAGCACAGAAGTGGCAGAGACCACAAGCTGATGCAATTCCACTTTGTCAGGCACTGATTTTATGTAATATACACTCACTACTGTTACCACTTTTCCCACCCACCTGCCTCTACTGATTATTACTTTTATTTATGTGATCTAGCTCATTGTTCTTTCTCTCTAGCAAAAAAATCTTGTTGTATTCACTCTACTCTCTGTGCACCTTCATAAATATCCTCTTCCTGCTTACTCTTCTCCAACAACAAATAACTCGTTAAAATAAAAGTAAAAAATTCCATCTTGTGCATTTTCTGCAATCTTTCTTGCCTTCAGCATTTCCAACTCTGATAATTTTTTAGTTTAAACTCTTAAGATTATGTGAGAGCATCACAGAAAATGTGTTTCTGCTCACATCTGAGAACAGTTCCTTGTTTTATATCAAGATACCCTAGAAACTCCTGAAGGCTGCAGCAACTGTCCTTTTATTCCAGAAAAAAATGTAGATGTATAATTCGATTGACACATTAATTGCAAAAAATCCACTACAATTCAGAATGGAATTCCATAGATCACACTGCATTTTCTGTCAGCAATTTAGAACATGATAGCATCTAGAAGATTTACTTGTGATACTTTCTAGTTCATTACTCCAAACTTAGGATAATCATTGTTTAATATCTTCATTTGATATCTCACTCCACCCCTCCTTCTTAGTAGCTGTTTTACCTGGACAAGAAGTCACATTAACATGTCTAGCACATTAACACTTCACCCTTACCAGAACTCTGAGTTCTTCCACATTTATTCCAAATAACTTTGCTATTTACAGTGTTTAGCAGATGATCCAAATACTCTCATTTTAGTAATTCGTTAAGTATTGATCATTTGACTTTATACAACAAGAACAGAGACCTGAATTCAAATACCCTTCAACTTTAATTGGTAACACCATTACACATTGTTTTGCAAATGCTTCATCCATTCCTTGCTCCAAGATGGAGACATTTTCAGTTTTTTGCTGTGTGAAAATCATCCTTCTTCTTTAGTCTGTGTTCAAAAATCTCCCTTTACCAACAAATTTAGTATGTCTGATCTGTAATCAACCTATTACAGTTAGTCAAACAAGAATTAGAGCTTTATTATTTGTTTTTTTCCTCTGGAAGGAATAAATTCCAAAGATTCTATTTAAAGGCTTGTTTCTTTATGTCATGAAATGATAACATGAAATAAAATATGGAAGAAGATGCCATCCAAAGCTGAGTATCACACAGGACTGTTTAAGAAACTTGAACATACAGGACTACTACTATCTATGTATTGCAAAGATGTTTCAAATTTGGCACCAATGCGATGACACAAGTACATAACAAAGCCACGTTGTATCAAGTAAACATGGTTTCAGTAATACGTTTCTTCTTCAGAGAAGTCCTTGAGACTTTTAGAAAGTATCACTAAACAAAAACTCTGCCCATAGTGGGGAGAACTGGAACTAAATGATCTCAAAGGTCCCTTCCAACACAAACAATTGTACAATTCTATGATGCTATGTACTTTCTGAATGAACACTTTCTCCTATGTGTTCTCCTGACTACTCAAATGCCTGTTGAATATATGCTAGACAGACAAATATTTATGGATTTATTTCATTAATAAACAGACACATCAGAGCAGCTAAGGACTCATAACCTCTAAGACCAGCTAAGCTAGGGCTAGTAGTACTGAAATCACAGCAAATATCAGCAACAATGTCTTTGGGAATACTTATTTACTTTCGTACAGTGTTAAAATAGTTGGCAAGAGAATGGAATTTAAAGCTCAGTTCTTCTCATATTTCATGCCACACCTTCCTGACAAAAATTTCAGTTTATCAGTGAGTGATTCTTGAGACGTTTCCTATAAGTTTAATGCATATTTTAGCAGGGAATTAACTTGAGATTCAATCTCTGCTTGTTTATAACATCAGTACTATTTAGAAGAATGATCAATAAAATGCAAATACATACCTTGCTTTTTTCTTGCTGAAATTCTATCTGAATGTTGGTTAGTTTAGTTCGTAGCTCCTCATTAGCAGCTTGCAGAGCTTCAGTATCCATGTCAGGCTTATCTCCCTTGGCACGACCTTTCTTTGACATAATTATTTTTGAAGTTTAAAATAATTTTTTGCTCCAAATTGAGCTGCACCAACTAGGGCCTTCTGCTTTCAGCATTTAAGAGTCGTGAAGTGTTCAACCAAATCTTTCACAAAAATCTCTGCCATTGTGGGCTTTGTCTTTCATGTCCTGAAAGAAACCAAGTAGGAACAGGATTAGACTACACCACAGAGCAAGATCAAAGATCAGGATTAACATGTAGTTTTAAAGCACATTGAACTTGCATTTGGTATGCATTATACTACATAATGTACAAGAATTAGTAAGCATTAGAAGAATTAAACAGTATTCATAATCGTACCTAAAATCACATCAACTCTCTTCCTATGTTTACAGAAACGAAAGTTTTGTTCTTATGATAATATAGCATATAAATATAAATCATATTTGATTCAGGACCCAATGACTTGGACCACACAAGATTCTCAAGAGGCACTGAGACAATGATAAATTAATAGAGCTGAGTGGCATTCCAGTGGGAACTGCTTACTTCCCATAGTAAGGAGTAAGAACCTTTCACAGGTATCAGGGTATCAGATGATTCAAAACATCAGCATGTGTGGAAAAAGCAGCATAAAACTAAAAAAAATACTTTAAAAGATTTTAAAGAATATAAGCTGCAAACATTAAAGGTCAATAGATTGAAGTGATCTAGCCAAAGTATCAAGGTATTTCATTTTATTTTAATTTCCTAATATGCAAAGCTTAAAAAGTATACAATTATTTAAATCAGCTTTACATGATACTCAAGGAGAACATCAATGGCAGACAATGAACCTTAATTCCAATCATTAGAAAGTCCCAAGATTAGTTTTCTTCTTGAGTACTAATTAAAGCTCCATCAGTTCTTCCCCCACCCTCCTTCCCAGCTCTCCCCTAAAAATAACCTGGCACTCCACAAGAACAAAATGAGCAACAGGTGAGAATTATTTCAAAACCCATATAATTTTCATCATTAAATTCCTGATAAGGCAAAGGGGTTTCTTCTTTAACAACACTGTTCAGATTCAATAAGAATTCCAGAAGGTGAAGTTAATGAGTCAGCTCAGCTGAAGCAAAAACATAGGTAAGGGAAAATGGTTTGTGATAGCTAAGAATCTATCTTCCCACATATTTTGTAGAATCAATTGCACTTCCATTTTATTTGAAAGGAAATTGCCAGATTTGGTGTGCCAGTGTCTTTAGTCTTGGTGTTTTTGTTCAGAGAAAGATTCTTTTCTTCCAAACACAACACTAAATCTGCAGTGCTATGACCTCTGCTAATTAAAATACTTGCTTTACTGAATTTTAGAAAGAGACGAGAAAGTAGCAGTGAGAAAAGAATTATTGCACTGTTTCTCACACACCTCTATCAAAAAGAAAATTAAACATAAAGACCCATCCAGACCAGCAGTTTTCTAAAGACATTATACATAAACTGAAGATTCAGTATTAGCTGAAGCTCCCTCAAAATCAAAATCATTCCATTGTTTCTTTCTCGAGAAAAAGAAAGAAAACTATCAACTACTAACAACAGAATCTGTAACAGCTTCCTGAAAATGATTATAAAGGCAAAAAAAAAAAAAGTGTATATATACACACAGTTTTATAGATCTAAGATAATGCTATCAAAGACTTCTCTGACTATGCCTATTTTTGCTTTAATGTTATAATAACTATATTCTCCCCCCTCCCCCCCCCCCCCTTGCTTCAGATCAGATGCCTTTTCTTTTTATCTGACATACAACCAAGATATAGAAAAATTGAGAACAATGACAGTTACAATGCATGATATTCCTTACTGCTGAAATTTTCACACTTGTTCTACTCAAAGAAACAAAAAAGAATTACACCTGGGGGCTAGGGCTCCTATAAAAAAAGATAAATTCTTCAGTTCAGCTACATTTGCTTTGTCATTGTCCATATGTGCCAACCCTGACTAGCACGGAAACCAGTAACATACTTAAGGTTTCTTTTCTGCCCAAGAAATACTGTAGAAACTTACTTTAAAACCTTCTGAATCAGTATCTCCATTTTTTTTGTGTTTGTACTGTTAGATATTGCTCTTCACATTCTACTGCCTTTTTAAACTCCTTCCCCAAACTCAGATTTTTAATTTGCAGTTATCTTTTGCAAGAAACAGAAAGACCTACAACTCCTCAGGCTCTCCAGAATGCCTGAGAATTCTGGACTTTTCCACTCTCATAGTTTCAACAAATTTTCCTAATTTCTAATTGTGGAAAAGCACTTACGTAAAAACATTAAACATTTAAATGGTCATTTATTTGCAATATATTTCCACAGAATAAATTCCTCACTCTAACGCATTATTATTTGTAAGGGTAGGAGGTTTCCTTCCAAAAGTTCCTCAGAAGGTTAAAAGTAATTAATGCAACCGTGTATTGTATATACATATACATAAAACAAAACCAGATTCAAAATAGATAAATAAATATGTAAAAGATTCATCATCTCGACACCTCCATCCAAATAAGGAGATTTCTCATTTTATTTAATCCTGTCTCCTACAGTATTACACAGCCTTAAACTATGGGCCTCAGATATGCCTTTTTATGCTTGTGAACATGAGACAACCACATCAATGCTGAATATTCAAGAAGTTTAAAAGAAAAATTACCACCCTAGCACCTGACAAGTTTAAACTTAGTGCACAAAGGTAAAGCACGTATCCTCAGAAATGCCGGTTCACTTATGTTACAATTTTCAGAAGTGTGGTAATCAGCCAATGAGCGTATGGGAATGCTGACATGAATAGCTGTCAATGCCCAAGGCAGATTTCCCACAAGGTTCAGATGACCTACATTTTTTGCTTCAGTTCTCAGAGGTACGTAATAAAATATGACTGAATGGATAAAAGCAAAAGCATCTCTGAAGGATGAAAAAAGATACATTCCTCAGTCAACAAATATACATTTGTGTTATCAGAATAATCTTCTAAATATATCGTAGACTAGTAAAACATTTTAGGTACCCATTTTTTTTAACTACCAAACAGACCTATTTCTGTAATAGTAGAGGTTTACTTTAAATCCTATCCCGCCTGCAGTATTGTTGAGTTTCCTTAATGGAACCCTAAGTGTCTGTTGTGATTTTTTTCTGAGGATTAACCCAAAAATATCTTTATTGTTAACTAACAGCCACACTTTTTTGTTGGTAGAGTCACAGCTGTTCTCGTTTTAATAAGAATCTCTCTCTAGGTGCAAACTAGATGGAAAGCAATCACTAAGAAGCACTCAAATGTTTAAACAAATTTTTCCAGAAAAATTTCAAACTGTTTTGGGAACAATTGAACAGAACAAACATTTGCTTTGTAGAGACTGTAGCATAGCATGAGTTGAACATTCATGATGCCTGACTAAGGAGGTTCTGTTAACAAATGACACCCTGTGGAAGAACTCAGAATTTGTAACTCATTTAACTCTCCTGCCAAAGTATCCTCTACAGTAGTTTCTACAAAGGCAGCTCAGCTAAAGAGATGTTCTGAGATTTTGCATTTCCACAGCCTTTCAACAAATTCTTATCGCTCCCAGGGAACAGTAGCTGTGTTTTAACATCCCACCACAATCCCTGCCTTTCAGGTCCCTCCTCTGTAGTTAACAGAGCTGCAATTTGGTAACCTTCAGATTTTCACCAATATATTCATTTTCACTTCAGTTAATTGGTTGTCTGTGTCATGTACGCATCTGCTAAAACACATGCAATTACAAAAATCCTTCCAAGTCAACACGTAACGTACCAAAAACCCCAAAAGTATTCCAAACTTGTTTAAAACCCATACACACCTTCAAATGTGTATCAACCAACAACGAACATACGACACTAGTTAATTATTTCTGTTTAGCAGTATTGCAGGCCACTAGACAGCACCCAGTACATTAGTGGCCTTTTTCTAGACAGAAAACGTATGCACAATCAAAAAAAAAAAGTTGGCATTTATTTGCAAGAAGTTGTGCTATATATATATATGCAGTAAAAAGGAATATTTGAGCTGAAAAGGATGAGGTACTGGGAATTAAAGGAATCACAAATGCATTTAGCCATCAAGATTCACATGAATTTTAATGTACATTTTAATTTTAATGTACATAATGTAGATTATGGATATGAGTGTTGTTTTTGTTTTTTTTTAAATCAATGCTTAAGCTACTTACAGAAGGGGTAGTATTGTCAGTAGTCCTTGTCAACCATTTAGCAGAGGAATGGCAGAAGAGTCACACAATGAAAAAGGATTTGAAGGAACAACTGGTCCCTATTTTACAGATTATATTGGAGGAGAACTAAAAGATTGGTTATAAGCATAACTTAGAACAGACTATTTTTCTGTGTCTACCTCTGGCTCTGTTGGCCTCTTCAAGATTCTGCTAGAAATTTGCTCCACAGTTCTCTTCCTCCGCTATAGCACTCTAATATACCAGAAGTTACTGAAACCTTGGCCTAAATCTCTTCTCAGAATGTTATGAGCTTGAAACCAAGCTTTTGAAATACATAATAAATATTCATTTACTTCAATTAATATTGACTCACCTCTATTAGCAGTTACTCAATTTCAAAGTAGCACTGGCTTGCGGATTAATCCTTAAAATCACCCCACTAAACACACCAAAAGACAAACCATTACAAACAGCAGCCCTGTGATACAGGGTCAAAGGAGGAAGCAGAACAACGTGAAGTTCAAATGCAACTTAAAGTAGTAAGACCCTCCTTCCACAAGCTTCTAGAGTCAGCTCTAGTACACATTGCAGCAAACAGTGAGATTGAGCTGAGCCTCTGGTCTTAGTGCCAATTCCTTTCTTTTGAGCATACTTAGGAGACCTGACAAGTCAGGTGCCAGCTGTCTAGCTCAACATACACACAAGCCTTCCACCCTTCTGCTTGCACCCTGCGTGATTCAGAGGGAGTCTTGGGCTTTCTCTGATGAAAATTTCCTCATTTAGAGCATAAGATTTAAGGACAAAAGAAGAATAGGAAGATCAATCAAATTTTAGCATTTCCCACTTACGGCTACAGAAAGGACAAATACTGAGAATGACTGCAATAACAGTATTCACCCTCAATGACACTCTGGGGCTTAATCTTCCCATCACATCTAGGCTTTTGGATTATACTGGACCATTTTGCTGATCTATTTA